TTTGTAGGCTGGTCTTTTTGACAGGTGAAGCTAGCCAAGATTAAACATTTTTAAATGCATAACTGAACACTACAACCTTTGTGCTTTTTGCAAAGGGCAGCCACAGGCCAAAGAACCAGTGGTCGAAAAAAAATATAAACAAAACCTATATTTAACATTAGCCGATTTGGATAACATGACCTGGGATTTGGCAGCATAAAATCTGGTGCCAAGTATGGCCTGAACATAGGAAACAATAAGCATGAAAACTTTTGAAGTTTTAAAGAAAACGACTTTTGAAAACTTGTGCTGCAGAACTCACTCCGGTGTGGGGTACGCTCTTTCAGCATTCACTGGACTCGCAGAGAGTTCCTGCACTTTGGAAAAGATCAGTGATTACACCAATCCCAAAATAGTCACATCCTTCTGAGAACAATGATTTTAGACCCATAGTCCTAACTTCAATCGTAATGAAATGCTTCGAGAAATATATTGTGTCCATTCTGAAAAGTGAAGGTATCCTCAAAATTAGATCCATGGCAGTTTGCTTATAAACAGGGCAGAAGTGCAGAGGATGCAGTTGGAAGTATTATCCATTTAGTTTCTAAACATCTGGAGGACCCAAAGGCATATACACGTCTTCTTTTTATTGATTTTAGCTCAGCTTTTAACACTGTGCAACCTTATTTATTATTAGAGAAATTGAAACACATGGATGTAAATCCTTATATTATAAGATGTTTTTTTTTCTTTCTTAATGGGTAGAACCCAACAGGTTAAGGTCAATAAGACGATCTCTGACTTACAATATATTAGTACAGGAGTACCTCAAGGATGTGTGAGTTCCTCAGTTCTCTTCACATTATATACAGATGGTTGTGTGAGCAAATATGATAACCACAACATTGTGAAATTTAGTGATGACACCGCTATTCTTAGTTTATTATATAAAGATCAAGACATTTTGTCTTATCGCTCTGAAATCAAGCAATTTACTGAGTGGTGTGACGCTCACCACCTAATTGTGAATGTGAAGAAAACTGAGGAGATGATATTCGATCCGAAGTTAATTGGCGACCATAGCCCTGTTTATATTCATAA